GAAATGGAAAAGTAAATGAATTCTCCGTTCAAGCAAACGCACTGGGTTTTGTAGCTGATTTTGTTTTGTTTTCCCTGCTCTCGACTATTTCAGTATTTCCAGTAATACAGGTTACAGAACGATCCAGCCAATTTCAATGTCACCTTCTGGTCCGAGAGTCAGATTTTCCAATTTCAAAGTATTTCTGAGACACGATGAACACATAAGGAAATACTGGAGGGCATTTTTTTAAGTGCTCTCTCCCTCCCCACCCTCTCTCTGGTACATGTGTGCGTGTGTGTGTGTGTGTGTGTGTGTGTGTGTGTGTGTGTGTGTGTGTGTGTGTGTGTTATTGAGAGTTCAACTCAGGGCCTCACATGCTAGGCAAGCACTTGCTCTACCACTCAGCCCATCCCAGAATCTACTTCAGTGCCATGCCAGTCCTCTGGAGCTTTCTGGGGGTTTGGTTACTTTGTTTGCCATTTTGCTTGCATACCAGCACTGCTTGTTTCTATTTTGAGTCTTTCTGCTGAAATGTTTGCTTCACCTCATGTTCCTATTGCACATGTGAAATGTTGTGCCCCTTAGACCCTTCGCCACACAACATTCACATTGGGGTTTGGCGTCTTGAGTTTCTAGTCTCGCATCTCCCATTGACTGTGGACTTCTGCCTCACCACCTGCTCATTCTTATTCCCTGCTTTGCCTGAAAGATGAAAATAACAGTCCTGTCTTTGCGGACTTTGGGGGCCTTATCCCTAGTTAATAAGGCCTGCTAATTGCTTCCCACTGTGACCAACTGTGGATGAATGGGACATACCATGGTATTTGCAGCAGGCAAAGTTCATGGGACTTCTGTTGGTGAAACTTTTCAAAGACTGTGGCTGCCTTGATGAGTGGGAACTCCCAATGGGATTGAAGACAGCTGCTGTTGAGCAAGGAGGCTGGGGGAAGAGATGGCCCTGGATCCTTATTTTCTCACCCCTCATACCGAGAGTGCATGTGTGCCGTGTGCACCGCTGACCATGCTTCCTAGAGCAGGAGCTGAATTAGACCCGTGGGTACACACAGTGGTGCTAGGAACAGGCAACTGCTTCTGGGAAAACAGACGAGCAACTCAGTTCCCCAAGAGAAGCCCTCAAAAGTCCAATGAGTCCTCCATCTCCTCCTTCATCCCTGCCCAACCCGAGTAGGATGAGGATGAAGGGCAGGCTGCTGTTCTTCCTGCCATCCTAATCTTCTCTTTCCAGAAGCAGTTTGAAGAGCTTCCTGGATCCTCTCTGCATGCCCTCCCAAACCCTCAGAGGCTAAAGAAAGTAGGGATGTGAAGACAAGCTTGAATTGTTAGCAGGGGCAGGCTTTCCTTTTTCCCTGATACAGTGCTGGAGTTCTGTGTTAAAAAATGGGAGCAAGCATCTGCCTGTTAACCTTGCAACACACACACACACACACACACACACACACACACACACACACACACACACCCCTGACATGTCTCATGTGTCCAGGCACACAGATCTGAGTGTTTGCTGCAGAGGACGCATCTGTCCTGGAAGCCAGCCCACTGCACACGCGGGCTAAGAGGAGGATTCATTACTGACACTCATTGCTTTGCTGCATGGTAAAGTGGTGCTTTTTCTGCCGTGGCTGCTCCCATTTTCCTCCTCTCCAGATGTTTCCTCAGCACCACGTGAGTGAGCTGATGGTAGGGTTAGCTGAGCTGGAAGGGGAGAGGCAGTATGTCATCCCCATATTCTGTGAATTTCTATTTTAGATCATGAGGAGGAGGCACGGTGGGTGGGAGAGACAGGGTGCTCTTCATGAAAACGGGGAGGCAGAAAGGCACAGCTGACTGCACAAACCCCCTTGAGCATTGTCCTGAGCATGAAAACGCAGTCATTCTTTTGGTTGGGAAGAGTAAAGCAGAGAGGCTGGACTCACACAACTGGAGTCATGTCAGTGCATTCTTGGAGTGAGTGATATGTGTTTCTTTGTATGTTTTCTGAATTAGGAGCTGAAACAGGTTGAATGTTCTCTACAAACCCAGGTACTGATGATGAATGAGACCTGATCTGGAAGTAAGAGCAGATGCCATAGATTTGAGCTGAGGCCAAATGTGTGAGCTCCATTCATCCCCTCATCACTGCGCTAAGATACCCAAGAAAAGCCACTAAAAGGGGGAGGGTTTATTTCAGACCCACACAACATGGAGAGGACGAGTGACAGAAGAAGTTTGCTACAACAGCCCTTAGAATCACGTAGGTGCCAGGGAGATGAAAACAGGATATGCTACCATTTCCCTGACGGGAAAGGGGCCCCCAGCTTATGATGCTAGCGCAAGGCTTGACAGGCATTGAAAAAGAGAGAATGGGGCTGAAGAGACGGCTCAGAAATGAAGAGCACTTGCTGTGTTGGCAGAGCATGGCAGCTCACAGTAATCTATAACTGCAGTTCTGGGGGGCCTGACACCCTCTTCTGGTCTTCACAGGTACTGCATGCACAGGGTGCACATACATACACACAGGGAAACACTCAAACACATAAAATAAAAATAAATAATATTTAAGTATGGAAAGGAAAGAAAGAAAGACCAGAACTGCAACACTGAGGTTGCTGGTGATGTTTCTAATCTACTCTTACAGGTTTGTCAGAATCAGAGCTTTTTGCTGGGTTTCTGTTTGTTTGTTTGTTTGTTTGTTTACCAATCCTGAAGATTGAACCTGAGGCCTTGTACATGCAAGGCAAGGAGACTAGTCTTCTGCCACTGAGCTATGTCTCATCCCAGGATCACAGACCTTTTGAAGTGGGAATGATCAATAGACTATCTACAGGGTTAGAGCATGGAGTTGGGCTGCTGACAGGTTGCTTGCTCTCCACAAGTCCGCCTCCCACACCCCTGACTCCCCGCGAGAACCGTGTCCCTGTGGCCTGTGCTATGCATTGAGGTGATCACCTTTGCAGCACAGCCACTTTGACACAGGTCATTTAACAAGGCAAGGCACATTCTGGCCTGTGCCTGGGAAAACTATCATTTCCTGGGTATGGGTGGGAATCACAAATTTGTCTGCTGTACCCTGCACAATCAGCATCCTTGGTCACTGAGACCTTTGTTATATTAGCAGCAGAACATGACCCTGATGGATTTAAGCATACATACATACATATATATTTAAGCATACATACACATGTGTATATGCATATATATAAATACATACATATATATATATATATATATATATATAAACACATATATACATGTGATTTCTTTGAAGGTCATTTATTGGCAAGTTTTCAAATCCTAAGAAAGTTGGGGTCAAGAGACAGCTAGTACGGATAATACCGTCCCTAATCACACATTGAGTAAAACAGGGCCTTGTGCTGAAGGCTGGAGAAATGCTTCAGACTACTGTGACTATTTTTATCCTAGACATCCTGTCCTCCACCTCTTATCCTGCTACTATCATCCTGGAGACCAGACACTGCATTCACTGCCTTTTCTGTAGCCAGGATGTGTCTGGCCAGATGTGCAGCCTTCACGCAGAAGCACAGTCCGTCTATCTAGAGCTGAGCCTGGCCAGCAGAGCCTGTGTCCCCCTCAAACCAGCAAAGGGACAGGACACAGTCCAGCGTGTCCAGGGGGAAGAGAGGGAGGCAGGCTGTGATACTCCCTGCCGTACTTCTCATGATGCAATCAGAATTTAGCCGCCCATGATCTCACTCTCTGAGTCAAGACCAGATGCCCATGTCACAATGTCGCATAAAACCCAAAATTAATCCATCCCCAAATTAATCTTGAGGCCCCCAGGGACATGTGCAGTCAGCCCAGACTGTGACAGAAATCTTTGGAGGTGGAGAATGACCCACTCAAGGTTAGGAAGCTCGTTAACGCTCACCCAAAGTCAGCCCAGAGTTCCTCCCTGTTTCCCGGCAACATCAAGTCACCCTGCCTGTGCTGAGGAGCCAGAGTGGGGCTACACTCAGGAGGACATCCACACACCAATTCACCTACTGACATACTCATTTATGCACGCGCGCGCGCGCGCGCGCGCACGCACACACTCACACACACACACACACACACACACACACACGGAAGTGTGAAACCATGGGAACAATTAAGATGAATGATATCCATGGAGAGCCAGATAGCTGTCAGAAAAAAATCATAAGCAGCTAACGTGACGAAGGAATGAAATAGCTCCCTGAGGTCCCAGCCCAGAGGGAGTTATTCTGCTTTGGAATTTGGTATCAGCTTGTCTCCCTAAACACTAAAGCAGATACATAAGAGGCATCTAGGACACGGTTGTGTTTCCTGATTATGGCTCTTGGTTCTTCCAAACCCTTGGTTAGAAATTGCCTGAAGGCCTGGCCTCAGAGAGTTGGGAGCAGGGAACACTGGTGGGAAAACATTCTGAGCTCTGAGGACCACAGCCCAAGGAGGTCCCTCAGTGTCCCCCAGAGACCTGGGTCCAGGAGTGACATTCATGAAGGGCGAGGTGATGCGGTGCCTGCTAAGAGTGATGGTGGCCGAAGGTGCCAGAAGCCTTATGCCCTCTTTGTGACCAGAACTCCCAGGAGGAAGCAAGGAAGGAAAAATATTAAGGAAAAGGGAACTACACTGACTTTTACAAATGTAAATACCTGTTTGTTTTCTAAATAGAGAGACAGAAAGGGTAAGGAATTGAGTGGATAGGGACATGGGGAAGATCTGGGAGGAGTTGGGAAAGGGTAAACCATGATCAGAATAGATCATGTGGCAAGACTTTCAATAAAAAGAAATCATATATATGAATGCAACCTGCATGGCTTTCTTTTAATTAGTCACTTATCTATTTAAACACAAGTTTCTTCTCTTCAACACAATTTGAGTTGACAGAGAAATTGTGCCTAAGGATGGACAGGACTCAGGAGCAATGATATCACATGTTAACAACCTGAAGGTGTCAATCATAGTAAAATGACCCCAACTCATTCCAGACATAGTTACTAAAACAGAGATGTCTTTTTAAAAACTAGACATACCAGGGTTGCTGTGTCCTTTCAACGTGGTGGTCCATGGAAACTTGTAGAACCTCTGTGCCTGCAGAAAGACACAAGCTTCAAGATAAATTCTGAAGCCGGGCATGCCCTTAGGCAGGGCTGAGCATCAAAATCATTTTTAAGTGACACTCATGCTTTGACTGTGTACATAAGTGGTGTTCCCCCACTGAAAACATTCATCGAGTTACCCAGGCAAGGCTGAATCCACACGATACTCCCATTCCTGTTGGTCATAATAAGTACCGCAAAGCCCCGAGGACACCAGGACACACAACAATCGCCCTAGTGAAGGGCGGAGATAACTAACAACATAATCTTAGTTGTCACTGTCTCTTCAGTTTGTTTTAAAATAAGCCTAATGCTTGTGACATTTAAAAATGTTTAGTGTCCTCTGGGAAGTTTTCCGGTTTAAAATACTTAAAGACTATGTCCTGTTAGAGTCACATATTAGTAATCTATACTGCAATGTTTACCTTTAAAAGAAACGTTACCCTGTGTCTTACTTAGGGTTCGGTGCTGTGATCAAACACCATGACCAAAAGCAACTTGGGGAGGAAGGAGTTTGGTTTACACTTCCACATCATAGTCCATCATTGAAGGAAGTCAGCACAGGAACTCAAACATGTCTAGAACCTGGAGGAAGGAGCTGATGCAGAGGCCATGGACAGGTGCTGCTTACTGGCTAGCTACTTGTGACTTGCTTATCCTGTTTTCTTATAGAATCCAGGACCACCTGCCCAGGGATGGCACCACCCACAATGGGCTGGGCCCTCTGCCATCTATCACTAATTAAGAAAATGCCCTACAGGCTTGCCTACAGCCTGATCTTATGGAGGCATTTTCTTAGTTGAGGTTCCCTTTTCTCTGATGACCCTACCTTGTGTCTACTTAACATAAAACTGGTCAGCACAACCCCTTGCCAACTTGGCACACAAATAAATCACTGTTCAGCCACAACTTTTCCTTTCTTTCTCATCCCCAAATCATACATTAATACAAAAAAACACAGTATAAAATATTTTAGAAACTTATAATGTCCTACAGTCATATAAATTCAAACACTTTAAAAGCTCAGTCTCTTTTACAATCAGAAGTCTCTCAACTGTGGGTTCCTATAAAATCAAAAATAAATTAAACACTTTATTTCAAGAGGGAAGAACCAGGGCACAGTCATAATCAGATCAAAGCAAAAACCAAACTCCAACAGTGTAAATCACTCAATGTCCAGTATCCAGGATTCACTCACCACCTTTCAGGTTCTTCAAAGGGCCTGGGTCACTTCTCAGACTCCGCCCTCAGCAGTACACACAGCTTGTCTTCTAGGTTCGGGCAGGCTCCACTTTATGGCTACTGCTGTTCTTGTCAATCATCCCACGGTACTGGCATCTCCAAAAAATGCTGGAGTCGTCTACGGCAACTGAACTGCAATTTCACCAATGGCCTCTCCTGGCCTCTCACAGTGCTGAGCTTCATCTGCTCTCCATGACCCCTTCATGGCTTCAGAACCAGCACCACCTGGGAGACTCTTACATGGGACCAAGTGCAGCTGCCAGCAGCACAAGGTACAATCGTGGCCACCTGTAGAACACAGAGTCTGTGTGCTGATCCCGAGGAAACGCTTTGCGGGAGATTTCACATCTACAAAGCTGGTCTCTTCTTAATCACCACTAATTTCTCAGCTCCAACTATCCAGCAGTGATAGTCCTGGTAAAACAATGTTTCACTTGAGGGGTGCTGGTCTCTTGTTGATTGAAGTTGACTCTTCAGCCCCAGCTGACCAGAAACACAGTCTTAATTCTGAATAGCAAAGGATCCTGGTAAAGTCTTCAAACATCTCTCTGAACTTTACAAGCCAGGCCCCCATCATCGGCACTGCTCTTGGCATTGCCTTCCAAGCTCCCTCAGCACAGCTCACCAAGCTCTGAGCACCCAATGGCTTTTCTAACATGAAGTTCCAAAGTCCTTCCACAATCCTCCCCAAAACAACATGGTTGGGTCATAGCAAAGCTCCACAATTCTGGTACCAATTTCTGTCTTAGGGCTATCATTGATCTGATAAAACACCATGACCAAACGCAACTTTGGGAAGAAAGGGTTTATTTGGCTTACATTTCCACATAGTCCATCACTGAAGGAAGTCAAGACAGGAACTCAAACAGGGCAGGAATCTGAAGGTAGGAGCTGATGCAGAGGCCATGGAGGGGTGCTGTTTACTGGCTTGCTTCCTCTGGCTTGCTCAGCCTGTTTTGTTATAGAACCTAGGACCAATATCACAAGGATGACCCCACCCACAATGGGCTGAGCCTTTCCCTGTTGATCACTAATTAAGAAAATGCCCTACAGGCTTGCCCACAGCCTGATCTTATGGAGGCATTTTCTCAATCAAGGCTCCCTGCTCTCTGGTGGCTCTAGTTGGTGACAAGTTGACATAAATGTGGCCAGGACACCACCCTGTGTTCTAATTTGCTTCCTGTTGCTGCCATACACACCATAACCAAAACCTTAAGGGGGAAAGGGTTTATTTGGCTTACACTCCCGGGTCACAGTCCCTCATTCAGGGGAATCAGGGCAGGAACTCAAGCAGAAGCCATGAAGAAATGCTGCTGAACGGTGCGTTCCCCGCCTTTTGTACGGTCGGCTTTCTTATACATCCCAGATCTCCTTGCCTAGGAATGACATCACCCACCGTGGGTTGGCCCACCTATGTCAACCAAGAAATTACCCCACTGGCATGCCCATAGGCTAATCGGATGCAGGGCAATCCTCCAACTGAGACCCTCTCTCAGGTAACTGCGGGATATATCAAACTGACGGCTGAACCTGACTTAGAGAGTATGTTTGGGAAAATCTCTTAAAAACACAAGTTAGAAGTCATCAGTGGTATAAGTAATATGTAATTGTGTGCAGGAAATGAAACTTTGTAATGTTTCAAAATATTTTCACAACTTCTTATGCTAAAAACTAGTAATCATTATTTCTCTCCAGGTGCAGCATTAAAGGATTCAACATAGAATACCCACCTGCTCTGAAGAACAAGCTGAATTCAAAATAAAGTCAAAATCATCAAGATATTTAATTACTGCTCTTCTTCCAATATGATTATGGATCCCCAGAGGCTGGCAATGTTTCCAGCCTTCCTTTACCTCCTCATGGGCCCAGAGACAGTACCCTGTGAGGAGTCCTTGCCTGGGAGAACTCTGACCCGAGGCCTCATAGGACACAGTGGGAATTGGCAAAATTGCAGGGGAGATTCCATGCTGCTGGCCTCACTATCTAAGCATGCTCTCCTAATAAGCAGCCCCCTGCCTCAGCTCTCTTCACTTCTACTGTAGGGTGCCAGATGAAGGGAGTGTCCATTTTAGATCTGCTTGAGCCTGTTGTCATTCTTAGATGCGGGGCTGCCTACACGCATGGTTTAAACACCACTACTTGGTTGTAAATGCATCTGCCCTTCCGGAGAGTCAGGCCATGCACCCTGGGAAGAATGGCCTCTGCTGTAAACAGCTCCCAACACCTAGAGAACTAACATGTCCTTGTCATAAGAGATTCCCATCTGTCCCCCAGTCCGGCCTGCCCATGAGCTCATTTGTGAACAATGCCGCATACAACACCTCCTGGTTGACTGGAATTTATCCAGAAAATTGGTCACTGCTTTTGTTATTGTCCTGACTGGTCTTGTCCAGCCTTGCTCCTGGGGCATGCTCTGTGGAGCATCTACCAATGAACTCTCCCTGGCCTCCACATGTCCTCACCAGCTCTTCCTGTGGGCCAATCCAGGGGATCAAGAAGATTGAGAATAGCTTGAAAAAATTTTTAATTCTGCTATTATAAACACTTCGGTGTGCTTTGTATGTAAGTGTGTAATGCCGTATTATAAAGTGTGTCAAATGGGCCCTCCCTGAGGGTCTACTAGCAAGTAGGAGGGTCTCATTTTCTTCAATGGTGTGGCCATTGGTCAGTACCCATGTTCCAGGAAATAACCCCCACCCAAGCTCCTGTAAGCAGCTCTAATTTAACTTCAATTAGACACATACACAGAACACATAAAAGTCACACACAGTCTTGTTGTGAATAAGGGGCATTTCAGCAGTGAGGGATGAAAGAGAGGGGTGGGGGGTAAAAGCGATTAAAATTCATTATATGCATGTATGAAACTATCAAGGGATGAAAATGAGGTCAAGAGCAGTAGCATTGGTGAGCTTTAAGTCTAACTTTAGGAGTCCCCTCCCTCCCCGCGTCTTTTTATAGACTAGCACCCTCACACCCCTGAATCTTGCTGCCTCACCCGAATGTCAGAGGGCAATAAAAGAAAACTCAGATGGGGCCCAGAGAGATGACTCGGTAGCTGATGTCTTACTGTCCTTACAGAGGATTAGGGTTCAATTCCCAGCAACCACATGGTGGTTCACAACCATCTCTAAATGCAGTTCCAGGGCATCAGACCACCCTCTTCTGCTCTTCTGAGGGTACCGGGCATTTGTGTGATGCATAAAAACTCAGAAAAAATAAAGAACATTCAAACACAGAAAATAAAAGTAAATATAATATTTTTAAGAATACACATAAAAAACTCACAGGAAGTTTATAAAACCTAGTATGATATCTTAATAATGGCATCATTCTAAAATGTGAAGAAAACATAAAACATGTAAAATTCCACGTGAGAAACGAGATTGGAGCCAGTGTAGGATTTAACACTGCTGGTAACCTCCTCCCCCTGCGCCAGCTGCACAATGAGCTCAGAACATAAATCTGGCCAAACCGATCTGAAAATACCATGCTCTCTGGTGAGGACATTTCTTATAAACAACCTTCAGGATTAGAATAGTAAACGGGCATGAGTAACCCACAGCTGAGGAGATGAGCGCCGGTCTCTTCAGCCAGAGGATCCGCTATGATGCCATCTACCCAGGACTGACCCGCTCTGATGGACAGCTTGCCATGACGACGTGTGGACCAAGTTCATCAAAACAGCCACATTTGTGGTGGAGAGAATCCACCAGGGACAAGGTCTTGCCATCCTCACTACTCTGGTGTGTGTTTCTTTCTCACGTCCCTTTAGACAATAACCCAACACAAAGAAGGTCCAGGGACAAGAGCAGAAAATGGGCTAAGAACATCGCAAGTCTCCGAAGGCAGGAAAAATGATTCCATCATCCACGATGTCTATGACACAGCCCTAAGATAAATCACCAGACAGTGAAGTCTTACGGTCTCTTGTTCAGTAGCCGATGGCTGCAAATGTGCAGTGCCTCTGATGGATATATTCACGGGGACGTTTTGGGATAAAGAGAATGGGGTAAGTTAGCACGTCCCTGGCAGAAATACGATCGAGGGTGTACATGCCGGTATCCTTTTGTCTCTGAATATAGCTCATGCCCAGGTCCCTGGAGGGCACACACAGCCCTGTGGGTTTTGCTTCTGGGCTCTTGGCGCTCTTGAGGAGTTACTTTAGTAAGACAAATGGCTAATTCTCCCCAGCCAAATGCTGCACATTTCATGATTAAAGACAAGCTCCCCGACACCAGGCTTCATCTATTTCCCCTGCCGTGAAATATGTGTGGATTTATATTTTTCCTTTCCTTCATAAATACGAGCAGTTTGTAAAGTGCTGCGGGAGTCATCTGCGTTAACTCTCCCCCATGATGATGGAAGGAATCTCCCTGTTGTTGTCTCTTTGTTTAAAGAAAAGAAATAAGGCCCCAGCCACTGAGTAATGATTTCATGACAAAGTCTATTCAATGGTGTTGTTTACAATGTGAAAGAAGCAGAATTTAGCACATCCGCTCAGTCCAACCAGAGTAAAACGCACGGTTGCCGAGAGGTAAGGACACGCTAAACACATGCATTATTGAGCATCCCTCGCTGTTCGTCTGAACACAGGTGGCTTGCAGCCAGCGTCCAAGCTGTAGCTGTTCCGAGTCATGTAAATCTACCGTGCCCTGTAGAGGTTGCTGGATGCTTCATCTTTCTCGCCCGTTTTACCGCTGTCTACCCTTAGTGTGTAAGACCCGGGAACTGGAAATACAGGTGGAAGGGGCAGAGGACACTGGGGCCAGGGATGGCGGTGACAGCAGCCACCACAGTGGGTACACCCTTGACCGATCTCCTCTAGCACAGAATGCACACAGAAGGTCTTTCCTGGCACTTAGAATTTGGCAGCAATTATGAGGCCTGACGGGACGGCACTTTTGAGAGTCGGTTACCAGGATGCTGTGGTTTCTTTCTTGCTCACCCTGCCTTATTCTCTCTCTCCTGCTTCTGATAGGATGCCCGCCATGCTGTGAGTTGACGGAGACAGGCCCACCAGGGAGAACCGGTGCCTTGGCAGAGAACTATCAGGACCTTCAGGTACTGAGAGCTCAAGGACTGCTTGGAAGCATGACTCGAGACACCCTAGGTGAGAAGAGGTGCCTGCAACCTGGGCCTGCTTCCTCATCAGACCCTGGTGGAGACTCCTAGCCACAGGTTCTCACAGATGCTCAGGCCAGATCCCTCCCTGGCCATAGTCACTGTGGAGCAGCTGGATACAGCGCAAGAGGTACCACATACTTCCACCTGGTGGCAGAGCCAGGCCAGGGGCAAGTCGAAACCTGCACGAGATGGTGTCTCGTGACGGCCAGCCACCTGCTCACCAGGAAGAGCTTTTTCACCTGGCCTCGGAGCCACTAGAACCTTCCGAGGAGACCTTCCAGCCTCAGGACTGGGAGAAATAAATTCCCGCGGAAGCCACCCAGCCTGGGATATTTTGCTCTGGCAGCAAAGTAAGGACTCCTCCTCCCTCCCCACTTCTGTGCCGTCTCCAGACGCCTCGTCCTAGCCACCCACACGGGACACAGTTATGAGGCACAGTAGAGATACTTGAGTACTGAGGCAGGGGACAGCTCTCAGGCAGTGCTGACCCGTAAGGGCAACACTCACAAGCATGGAGACTTCAACTCGGACACGTGCTCGCACACGCACGCACGCACACATACACACGGTTATATTTGGTTTGTGATCTAACAAACAAGCTTGCCTGAAGATCGGAGTGCAGAGCTAAGCTACCAGTTAGCCAGAGAGGCCAAGCAGTGGTGGCGCACACCTTTAATCCCAGCCCTCGGGAGGCAGAGGCAGACGGGTCTCGGTGAGTTCAAGGCCACCCTGGGCTACACAAGATTGGTCCAGTCTAAAGACAAACAGAGCCAGGCAGTGGTGGTACACACCTCTGATCCCAGCACTAGGGAGGTGGAAACAGGAAGTGATAAGGCGGGAGGAGACAGGAGCTCAGTTCCATTTCAGCCTGAGGATTCACTAGGGGTAAGAAGTCTTTCTAGTGGCTGGCTGCTCTGATTCTCTGATCTTTCAGCTTTCACCCTGATATCTGACTCTGGGTGTTTTTATTACTAAAACCAATTAGAATTGGCACTACACCTCTGGGCCAGAAGTACTTGGCTCTTGTTAAAAGCATCAGTTAGATATTTGACTGAGGAATTTTCCAGGCAAAGTACAGAAGGAACATCATGGGTTTAATTATTCCTTACACCGGATGTATGAGGAGAGAGATGAACTGAAGGAATTATTAATAAAAACATAACCAGAACTTGAAGATTAGGATAATTATCAGCTTATTCATATATATGTATATATATATATATATATACACACACATATATGTTTATTCACACACTTGTGTGCATGTACTATATATGTGTGTATGTATATAAGCTTCAATATAAAGTTTAAACATATATATGAATAGGCTCAGAGTTTTTTTTTAATTCCTGTCATAAACAGAAGCAAGAAACATATAGATCATGTGAGAGAGATATCCTTGGCTCCTTGCCAGTGAATGGCTCCTTACAACAGTGACCGATTGGTCAGTCGTGTGAAGAGCTGGTGTGGCTACTAGGCTTTCTTCTCTGAGTATCTGTTGTTCTAACAAGTTACTCAATTATCTATACACATTTGATTTATTTCTGTCCACATAATGAGTTTGAAGATTAAAAGGAAACATGACATATTGACAAGCACTGATTGTGTTTCCTTAGCTTTATATAGATTTCTATATCAAGCCCAGAGAAGAAAATGTCCTTCAATGATAGGACAGAGACTGTAGAAGCAGGCTGGGTGCCTTTTAAAGAGTGTTTCTCTGAGATGTTTGTTGCCCCTATTTATGGACAGAAAAAGAAAAAAATAAATATATGCAACTTGAAGCTTCCCTTATTCTCTGTCTTCACATAGATTTTTCCTGGAGAATAACAATCCAAAGAGGCTCCCTCCACCATAGGTGACCAGCAGCTCCAAGGTAGCAGTTAACAGATCCAGCCCTCCATCGGGAAACAGCAGGGGGCCACCAGAGTCCCTTAGAAGGATTTAGGTAATCCTGGTGTTTTTCTTCCTCTAGACTCAGTGGACAACTATAACACTTAATCTGATCAGGACATCTTTAAAGAGTGTAAGCGTCAAATGATGGGGTCATAAAGCACAGGACACTTTCACCACGCTGCAGGGAAGTGGTAGGTAGCCGTGGCTTGGTATCAAGTGGAGCAGGAACATGCGACCACAGGAAAGATGAGAGTAGTTGATGGGAGCCAGTCCCCTGCCTCAGTTACCTGAGCAGTTGGGCTGTGTAGGTCGCCTCTGTGGAAGTTTGTAACAAGAATGCAGCTCACTTGCCACCCTGTGATGATATTTCAACTCCACAGAAACAGAAGGGTAAGGTGAGTGAGGCTGCCCTCTGTCCAACATTGCATAGTTCTGTCTCCTGATAGTTAACCTCCAGATTAATCATACTGCAATTTGGTCAGGAAAGGACCCCCAAAGAAAGGAAGATGGTGGTGAATCCCTCAACAGCGAAAGCCTCCTTAATGTCTGATTAGAAGACAAACACAGGAGAAGGAAGCCTTAGGGAGCCTCGTGCAAGACCCAGGTGTCATAATTAGGTCCAGGCTCCTTCTAGCTTCACCCCATCCCTTGAAGATAGACCCCATCCCAGTCGAAGACTCAAGCAGTTCCATGGAGCTCTTTGTTGACTCATTTCACAATAATTCTGGACCACTTGTAATAGAGAAAGTCTGCTTGGATGCTGAGGGTCAATGGATGGTCAAGAACCACAACCATTTGGCAATAGGAAAAATTTTCCTAAAGTGACTGAACTATGGAAAACCACTGTGCATCCAGGGAGTCCCTGTGGCCCTGCTGACCTAAGCCCCGCCCACAGTTCCCTGCAGCTCTGCTATGTCACCACTGACTGCAGGGCTGGCTATCTATGAAGTCCCTGCTGCCACAAAGCCCATCTGAAACATGCTTTCACTCTGAGAGATATCCAGAAGGTGGCTTGAAAAGCCGAATCCAAGTCAATGTTTCTATGATTCACTGAGAGATGGGCCATGGGAACAGGGACACAGAAAGCATGTGTGAGATACGACCAGCAGAGGAAGCAGTGTACCTGTGTGTGAGTGGCCCTGCTGCCTAATGCTTAGACAGCCACCCAGACTTTAGTGGCTCAGAAGGTCACTATTCCTGCTGATCCTGCTTGGCCTGACGCTGTGGCTGCCTCAGCTGGCTGTGAAGATTGGTGTGCCATCCAGGTGGCCTCGCATGGGTTGTTAGAGCTCGTTATGGATTGCAACCTCTGCTTTCTTCCTCTTTTGACTGGTGCCCCCCCCCCCTCTCTCTCTCTCTCCCACACACACACACACACACACACACACACACACACACACACACACACTTTCTCCTCCCCTGTGCCCTTCTTCCTCAATTCTTCACCTGTCCATCCTGGCTTCTTTCATGACAGTACAAAGACAGGAGCTTCCAACTCTTTAGTGAATGCTCACAACGTCAATTCTGTCATGACCCCTTCATTGAAGAAATCACAAGCCCTCATCTAACAGACCCGGATGTAGACTCTCCCCCTTAAAAGGCAAATATGAAGGCCATGTTTGTCTGCAATCATGCATATTTAATACACAGTGCATGGTATATTTAATCCACTACATAGTTATATATTTACTGACTAAGAGATGACTGGAAAATATGTCATTAAAGCCTGATATATGAGGATGGAATTAAAGGCGTTATCACGTTGAAATAATTTAAAAATGTAAAGAAAAGCTGTAAGCATGGCATTCAGAACCTGCTCTTGGGTCTGGAGAGATGGCTTGTGATTAAGAGCACTTCCTGCTTTTCCAGCAGGTGTGAGCAGGTTCCCAGCACCCAGGTCGAGTGCCGCACAGGCACCTGTAAGTCCTGCTCCAGGGGAGCTGATGTCCTCCTCTGGCCCCTGCAGATGCCTATCTTCCTGTGCACATACCCACACATAGACACACATACACATAATTAACAATAGAAATAAAAGGACTTCCTTGTGCCGTTAATTTACTCACCTTCATTATAAACATTTTACCACATTTGTCTCATCCTTAGAACAGAGATGAAAACACTTTATCTGAATTCAGAAAATAGTTCTTGTTGACTCTGGGGTGTATGAAGGGTGAGACTAGCAATTGGTAGAGGACAGGGTCTTGGAGGGGCGCTCAGGAGATGGTGGCCATAATGACCAACTCAGTGATATGCCCAGACACTAGATTCTACAGTTTCCGTGAGTACAATCACATGTCATAAACCTGTCTGAGAACTATTGTCCGTAAGCGCTGGGTGAACAACTTTCATTATTGATGAAACGGCAGGGAAGGTTGTGGCCCTCCCTCTGTACCAGGGATCTGTTGACAAGGCCGCTGTAACAGAACCCACACAGTCGAAACCAAAGGAGGGCATCTGAGCTCTGCTGTGTGAACGGGGTGCTTGCCTACGACACAGCCCCTCGGAGTACGTCTTTGAGCCAAGACATCAGTTGAATTCAAACACTTCACAGGGACAAGCAATTTGGGAATTAAAAGAAATGTGGACGCTTGCCATCACCCCACCGTGTGCAGACAGCAGGCACTGGATAGGAAGGAGCCATGCTGGGCTGCAGCCTGCTGAGCCCTGCAAACATAGGTATGCACACATAGCAATACAAGGAACAACCAAGTCAGGAGTGATGGGCTGGGTGAGTCTAACTTGTGTGACGGGTAATACACACGGCACTGTGAGATCTGTACGTGTGTACCCTGCCCCTTAGCAGGGAGGAAAGCCAGGCTGGACAAACCTCCCCAAGCAGCACTCTGTATAGCATGCATGCTCATCCAGCCCCCATTTCTCAGGTGAGACTGGTCTTCCTTGTTTGAAATGTGCTGACATTTGCATTTTTATATCAAGTGGTATTCAGTTTTATTGTCTTCGGAAAATTATTAGTATACATAACCTTAGTGACTGGACGATAACTGTCATCTTTTGGAAGGCTTTAAGTAAATTTTGAATAACTCCTTGATTGCTACCAGAGCCACACATATTCTACACATTACATTATAGAAGTGGCAAGAAATGGAAATAACTTATGGGTAGTTTCCACCTTGTAATGCTGCAGCTATAAGCAATTTATATTTCTTCAGAACATGTTGCCACGGCTATCCTAGGCAATTCCAGGTAACTAAACTTTTTAAAATTAAAATGTATGTGTGTGTGTGTGTGTGTGTGTGTGTGTACATATCTGCATGTTCCCATATATGTGTGAGTGCATTCATACATGTATGTCTGTGTCTGTGTACACATGTGTACTGGTGTCTTTGTGTTTGTATATATGTATATATATAGTATACATGTCTATATGTGTGTATGTTCACATGCGTGTGTGTGTGTGTGTGTGTGTGTGTGTGTGTGTGTGTGTGTGTGTGGTGTTGGAGCTGTGGGTTGAATGGATGGAACTTTCTATTTGAGTCTAGAGTGGCATTGTTTCTGCTTTCAGAACACCTCATTACAGGGCTGCGAACCCGAGAAGGGGAGCAGGGTCCCTCAGCCCTCAGCTGACTCTTCCTTGACCTCACCCAGTGTTTCTGTGGCGTGAACACCAACTATCCACACGCCCACAGCTGGATATGGAATGGGTGGGAAATAGTCTGAATTCTAATATCCCAGTGACTCCTGAAAGTCTGCTGGAGGCGTCTGCAGACAAGCACTCGCAGGGTGGAGGAGCATGTTAGAACCATGGCCCTCCCTGTGGAGACCAGGAGACACCCTACGCCAAGGAGACACATGGATCCCCAGAGAGGAAGGACGGGCAGACGCGCTCTTTTGTGCCTTAGCTCATCCCAGTTACATGGAATTGTTTGCTTCCTTATGAACACACAACCCTCCCCCTCCCAACATTCAAACCAAGGAAGTCACCAAAGCCTTCAAGTTCTCTACCAACGTAAGTCACTAAATTATTAATTACAAAGTTATCATTCAAAGCTCATCGTTTCCCTTAGCAAGTATTTTAAACACAGACAAAAATGAATTGCCGGCTTTCCATGAAGTGTCTGGAAAGAGCACAGTTGTATGGTGCAGTGGAATCCTCTCCCGGAAGCTGTGTCCCCATCTCCTCACCACTCCCCTGCCACTCTCCCCCCTCCCCCACCCCGTGCTAAGTTCACAGCCATCTTCCTGTGGTGCTAACCCAGGAAGCTCTGTCTTCCACTGCTCTTGAGTCAGGCGGCTTCAAACATCATTACACAGAGCGTATCAAAGCAAACAATTACAGCTCAATTTTAATAACATTTTTTGCTTCATCCAATTATAAAAGACATTTGATGGCTGCTTTAAAATTAAACTGGAGAATCTTACGTGGCATCTTGGCGTTCACTGAGTAATTGAAAGGAACTTTGGCTGAGTGGGCTGGGTTATGAGAGCTAAGATGTCAAAAAAGTTTCAGTTTATAAAAATGAAATCTATTTTCAATTTAGGGAATATGGGGCAGAAAAATCATAGACTGAAGGAAAGGGGGCGGGAGACTCAGGAATCACGTGAATCACTGCGACATTAGAGGTTCAGTGTAGACACTTGACACACAGTAACTAAAAACAGTTCCCCTGAAAAGGACTCCGTGAAGTTAAATCTGAAATAAATTATCACATTCATTACGTTTATGAAAATAGTATAATTATTTTACAAAATGCAACAAATTATTATATTGCTGGTGCTCATTTTAAGATTAGCTATCAAGGGGCTGGAGGGACGGCTCAGCGGTTAAGAGCATTCAGCTATCACAGAGGACACAGGTTCAATCCCCAGCTCACATGCTCACGACTTTGGTAACGCCAGTCCCTGGGCATCTGACAACGTCTTCTGACCTCTGTAGGTCAGGCATGTGCCTCACAGACACACACGCAGGCAAAACACTCACACGTATGCAGTTAAATAAATCTTTAAAAAAATTAAGTTTACATATCCAATTATTAATTGTTCAGTTGTAACAAGTGAAGTGTCATTGTCGTCCTCCTTGTCATCCTCCACCTCTTCCTCCACCACCTCCTGTTCCACCTCCTGGTCCACCTCCTCCCCCTCCTCTTCACCAACTTCTCCTCCTTTCTTCTTCACAGTGATCCAGCCAGTGGGAACTTGTCCAGCATGGCAGACAAACAGTGAAGAACGAGAGAGAAGGAATCTTTCTTCCCCTGTTACTCGTCATCGAGTGGTGAGTCTGGGATGGCAATTCCCATCTGGAGTTCATCTTGATGTCCTACTCCATCTCTATCCATGCCCACAGCTCCCCTTTTTTCTGATCTCTGGCAGACACCACTGCAAAATACTGAGCCTTAAAAAAAAAAAACTTGGTTTCTGTACTCTCCCCCAGCTGACCCATGCACCACAAAGCATCTTGATTTTCACAGCACACTCAGGAGGATTGCATGGGATGTACAGGCCTTAACATTTCAAGCCTTCCTCCAAGCATTTCCTCACTTCTGAGGCCAAGCCCTGGCCGAGTCATTCCACAGGACAATGGCTGCCTCCTGCACTGTGGGGTACGCTTGCTACTGTGCATGCACAGTGCTGCTGTGCTCTGGGGACCGGGGGCCCTTCCTGCTTCCGCCCCACTCTGCTTTAGGCTTAATCAACGGGCTAGCAGTGGTGTTGCCCACAGAGGAGTTAGTCTGCCCTTCTGCATCCCATGTCCTGCCGCCTCCCTCTGCTTTATGAATTCGGGTCTAGTCTTCATCTTCCTGAATAGGCCAGTGTCATCACAAACAGTATCCACTCTTCTCCACCTCCCTTTCAACACTGCCGGAAACGTAGCCACAGCTTCTCCATTAGCAGACAGCCCCTCCATCGCTTTACAAACGCTTTCTTCTGTCCCTCACATGATTTCTACAGGACTTCCATCTTTATCTTGTCTCACTTTTGTTAACTGAGTGTGTCTCATGATACATCAAAATCTAAATGTTTTTTACTGGCACCATAACACCAGGAAAATTGGCAAAATCAACTTATACAATGCAATGGGAAGCAAAAACACCAATTGAGAAGCAGTTTCCTTAAGTGTTCAACGCATTTTTAACCAGATTCCCACCTCTAGGTATCGATTTCTGGAAAAGCAGAGCAAAATTTTACATGTCTGGAACTCACAGTGGCATTCACCGTTTGTGACAATCAGTGTTGATTGTCAGTTCAATGGAATTTAGAATTAAAATGAAAAGAAAGCTGTGGGCATTTCTTTGAGGGATCATCCGTGCTAGGTTAACTGCAGTAGGAAGACTCAATCTTAACGTGGGTGCTAATAATCTAGGGGCTGGGGGCGCCAAAGGTGGGGAGAGAGGAGAGAGAGAGAGAGAGAGAGAGAGAGAGAGAGAGAGAGAGAGAGAGAGAGAGAGAGAGAGAGAGACACTAGCATTCACTACTCTGTGACTCTGTGACTGTGGTCAGAATGTAACCAGCTCTGTCAAGATGGAGCTGGATCTCCAGGAAATGGGAGCCGACTTAAATTACTATTTCCAGGCATTTTGTTACAGTACAGACACAGAGTAACTAGTGCAGAGCTAATGGACAGAACACCCCGATATAGACAGAAGAGGCAGAAATAGAAACATCAGTCAAAAGCAGCAGATCGTTACGTGGATACTGTTTTATATTAATCAACTACAAAAATCAATAAATAAAATTGTGAGAAATCTTGAGAGAGGCAAATCGAGTTGAATGCTCTTGTTGGGTATTTTCTTAACTGTAAGAATGTGTGTGTGTGTGTGTGTGTGTGTGTGTGTGTGTGTGTGTGTGTCCGTGTCCATTCAGATTCTTTTACTAAGGCTTCTAAGGCTTATACTTGTATGTTTGTGCTGACCACTCTGGATAACCCATCAACACTGATCCTCTCTATCTCCACGGACATCAGTTGTCTGTGCTTCCTTATCCAGAAGGGGAGCCTTGTGAGATTTCACGGTGCAGCTCCTTCTTAGGCAGCCATATTGTTGGGATTCATGTATGGAGTTTCCATGTCATACGGTCAGCATTTTTTGTTGTTGTTGTTCGGTTGGCTGGTTTTCGTTTGTTTTATCACAGCAACAGTAGTACCAAGGAAAGCACCTGAAGTAAATGTCACCAGGGTCTGCTCTGAGGGCGTCCACTCTATACATTTGAGATTTATAAATCCTAACCTTCTCCTTTAACCTTTATGTCTACACAACGTGACACCAAAAATGACTCTCCAAAGCGAAGACATTCTCATCGCACCTGTGTCTAGTTACAGTGTTTGAGTCGGGAGTCAGCAGGCTCTCAAGTCAACATTTGACTAACGGCAAGGCCAGTGTTTGAGAACACAGAGGTGACCTCTCTTCCCTCATTGATCCTTCTGTAAAGGGCAAACAAGTGTTTCCTGAGAGCACAATCCCGGACCACCACAGCATCTGAAAACCCAACGGCTGTGACTTCAAGCATTTTGTGTGGAGCAAAGTGAGAGAAGCTACGTATTTCAGGAGGAAACCAATGAAGCTGGCCTGCCACAAAGAACAACTGCCATTGTCTCGTGTATTCCAGCACCAATCAACCTAATCCCCATTCCATGAGGATGACCAAAGGCCCAACATTCCCATTCACACCACAGACAGTTGTCTCTAAGGGCAACAGCATCAAAGGACATTCCAACTGTTCATGGCCGGGGCTCTGGTCTTGGGTCAAACTTGGAAGGGAAGATATTTGGATAAATATTCATACTGCAGTTTCTGGGCATTTCTCTTCATCTTATGACAGGCACCAAGAAGCTTCTAATAAAAACCCTGATCTCCTCAGCTGGCCCCTCTGGTTACCTAAACAGAGTTGAAATCCTGCTGCCTTGCCTTCATTTTGTACCTGTGTCTGAGTTAGTTACCCTTCGTATTGCCATGACCAAACATCTGGTCAAAATGCTGTGGGATGTTCTGTGTGTTAAATGTGTTGCTCTGATTGGTTAATAACTAAAACACTAATTGGCCAGTAGCCAGGCAGGAAGTATAGGCGGGACAAGGAGAGAGGAGAATTCTGGGAAGTGGAAGGCTGAGGCAGAGAGATGCTGCCAACCACCGCCATGAGAAGATGTTAAGATATTGGTAAGCCACGAACCACATAGCAGCTTATAGATGAATAGAAATGGGTTAATTTAAGATATAAGGACAGTTAGCAAGAAGCCTACCATGGCCATACAGTTCTTAAGTAATAGAAGTGTCTGTATGTTTACTTGGTTGGGTCTGAGCGGTTGCAGGACTGGCAGGTGAAAGAGATTTGTCCTGACTGTGGGCCAAGCAGGAAAACTCTAGCTACATCAAAACACTACTTAGAGGAGGGAATTTTTATTTGTCTCATGTGTTAAAAGAGTTCATCCGCTGTAATGAGTTAGGCATGGAGTTTATGCTAACAGTATGAATGGCAGGGATGCCTCACCTCTCTGTGGACAATGAAGCTGGTCCTCACTTAGCTATACACTTACTTTTTTTTTTTTTTTTACTCAGTCTGGGATTCCAGCCCATTAGATGCTGCTGCTTACATTCATGGTGAGTCAACCTTCCCACTTAAAAAACCTTTCTGGAAAAGCCTTCCCAAATTCACCCAGAGGTGTGTCTCCCAGGTAATTTCAAATCCCTTCAGGTCAACAATAAAAAGAGAAAAATGCTAACACAGCTTCACAGCTTCTTTACTTTGGGTCACATGCTTACCTTTGCATGTAAGCATGTCAATTGCTGAAGAGGAGTCTATCTTGAAAAGGGCAACACATGATCTACATCATTTTCCTCAAGAGAGAGAGAGAGAGAGAGAGAGAGAGAGAGAGAGAGAGAGAGAGAAACTGCTAAGTCCATTTAGTATTGCCTGACTATACATGTCCAGGGCTGACTGATTGGTATTGGAAAACCTATACGGGAGCTCATCCCTGGAGAAAACTGATTCTCCCCTCTCAGCAGCCATTGACCACCTCCAGAGCTTCATCTACATATAGATCCTTGTGGAATTTCCCCCGTTCAGGTTGGCATGTCAGTTGATAATGTCATTATGCTAATCTTGTACAGATAGCCATGTTACTGGAAGTTCATAATGCTATCTCTGTACTTTGCGTGTACTTCAACCACTGCAGATACTTATACCATTTTAGAACTCATTTCATTTAAGTATTTCACATTATTTCTCTGAGTTGGAGGGGGAGTCGGGGCTGTGCTCTTGTTCCAAATGGTGAGTCACAAGGAAGAGCCCTTTTTCTCTGGGTATAAAAATGGATATTTGTGTGTAGTGTTTCAGTTCCCTGGGGCGGGCCACAAGAGAACATGCAATCCCTACTCACATAAATGTGTCTCCAAGCCCCTCAGAACCTGAAGGGAGATGTTCCTTGACTCTCACCTTCAGTAATGCAGATAAGGCTGTAATAGAGTCTGCATTTATTTACTTATATCTTCCAAAATATGAGCGCTTTCTGTATCTTTAGCACAACTCTAAGTCAACATGTAAATGTGTAATTAACAGGTTTCTTTACCAAAATCACAGAGTGTGGGTTAGATTTTATCCTTTAATCTAGGCCTCGATTTACGGGAGCAATAAACAATAAAACCTAAGTGATCTCGTGAATTGTGTGTGTGAGTGTGTGTATATGTGTGTGTACATGTGTGTGAGTATGTGTGAATGTGTGTGTGTGAGTGCGTGTGTGATAAAGAGCCAAAAAACTCTAATGGGAAGCTGAAGAGATGCGCAGAGATTAAGAGTATTTACTGCTCTTACAGAGGACCTGCCGTGGAACGGTCCTCCTGTACACTGTAAAGATTTGTCACTCAATTTGGTTTAATAAAACACTGATTGGCCAGTAGCCAGGCAGGAATTATAGGTGGGGTGAGCAGATGAGGAGAATGCTGGAAAGAGGGAGGACAGAGTCAGGAGTTGCCAGCCAGATGCAGAGGAAGCAAGAGAATGCCATACTGAGAAAAGGTACCAAGCCACGTGGCTAAACATAGATAAAAAATTAGGGGTTAATTTAAGGGTAAGAGCTAGTCAGTAATAAGCCTGAGCTGCCAGCTGAGCATTTATAATTAATATAAACCTCTGAGTAGTTATTTGGAAGGGGCTTCAGGACAAGGCAGGACAGAGAAAAGCCTCCAATTACAAGGACCAGAGCTCAGTTCCCAGCACTTGCACTGAGTGGCTCACAACTGCCTACAACCCCAGCTACTTCCCAGGGATCCAGGGTCCTCTTCTGGCCACCAAAGGTACCTGTACATACATGCGTATGCATGTGCTCACATGCACACACACGCATACACACACATAATTAAAAATAAAATAAAATTTTAAATCTAGCAATTGTCTTAACATATTGTATTCTTGATTTCTTTACTTGCTAGCAGTCACTCAAGGTCCAGGTCCAGCAGGACTTAGGCCATCATCCAGTACACACTGATGGGAGGTGTTTTCTATTTACCTAATATCTAAATTGAGAATAACTTAACAGAGCTGGTGCTTTAAGTTTCTGTTGCATGTCTTATGTCACAGGAATATGACAAACATATTACCATTCTTCATTTAGTGTGATTATATTTGTATTTAACTGCTATATTAAATTTAGATTATTTTTCTTCTATTGCTTCATCCCAAATTGTCTCTTTTGGTGTCTCTTACCCTCAAGGTCATTCTTTCAAATATTTGCTAACATATATATGGGCAGAGAATGAGATAGATAGATAGATAGATAGATAGATAGATAGATAGATAGATAGATAGATAGACAGACAGTAGATAGATAGATAGATGATAGATAGTAGATAGATAGATAGATAGATAGATAGATAGATAGATAGATAGATAGACAGATAGATAGACAGACAGTAGATAGATAGATAGATAGATAGATAGATAGATAGATAGATAGATAGATAGATATAGACAGACGATAGATAGATAGATAGATAGATAGATAGATAGATAGATAGATAGATAGATAGATAGATAGATAGATGATAGACAGATGATAGATTAATATACAGACACACACAAAGTAAAACAAAGCATTATATCCATATTTTGATCTGAATTACTGTATCCACATATTCCATAAATAAGCAACGTGCAGAACACACCATGCATTCTAGTTAAAGATGCTTTTCCTCCCTTAATGATTCAATGGGGCTTCAGACAGTGACAAATTTGGGTCACAATTTAGCTGGCTGTGCCAGCCCATTCCTCTGACCCCAGTGCTTCAGAGAAGAAGGCCAGAGGACGTCAAGTTTAAAGACAACTTGAGCTACATAGCAAGACTCTGTCTTTTAGTAAGTAAGTAATAATAAAAATTAAACGTTTAAAAGGGGTCACGTGTATCGACTGAATGATGATTTGGGGGTTTTCAGTGAGATGAGAGGCACCTGGCAGCTGCTCGTCAGATGAAATCACATACATGGGAAGTCTGTGGAATTTTGGGTAGATGAATTCACATTTTTATTCTGAGAGAAATATCCAACATTAAATACTATCTGATTGCCCATGATGCCCCTCTTTGAAAATGACCTCATTATATTTCCCTAAACATTTGCACAATATAAACTAATTTTATAAGAACAAATGTTGATCAAGGATTTTGCAGATGTCACTAGAAGATTCTTTCCAATGGCCTTCCATCCTCTACATTATGTCAGGCAAGCATTCAATATGTAACTCCTAATCCATTAGATAAGTGCTTTGCTGAGGATATGCTATATTTTGATCAAGTTGTAAGTAAGGTCAAGGGATACTTAGTGAGCCTTTTTAATTTTCCAAGTGATAAAAAGTCACTGGAGAGTGCTTGCAAAAGTTTGCCAGTATGTGCACCATGAGCGTGTTCTCTTGTGTCCTTGTTCTTCAGGAATGTCTGTAGTGTCTCTACTTCTAAATCAATGTCAGGATGGTCTCAGTGACCATCACTGCATAGCCATGTGACCATCATCACATGAACAATTTTGGAAGAACCCCTTCCACGCTTGGTCTGTCTGATATGTCATCTAATCCACATGCTGCCACGTCCACAGTGGTGACAGCATCTCTCCCAGCCATGACATTTGTCATTTCATCTTTTTCAGGTGAGAAATTGCTCCTCGGCTCTGTGGGAATATTCTGTGTCTATAGGTTGTCTGTTTCTTTTGCATGAAATGCCTCTCAAATTTCAATAATTAAATTGCAAACAACCTTTAAAACGAAGACCATCCACACTCTCTACTAGACTTTACGGAGATTCTCAAGTAAATGGTACTCTGAAATCATTTTGTAATGTGTTTCAAAGAAAACAAAGTATAGCGTTTGAATCTCTCTTGCCCGTTTTAGAGGTTACTTATCTAAACATTCCTAAGATAGCTTAATTTAAAGAATTAAGAAAAATATTGTGCTGTATGTTTTATTTATGCCTGTGGTAGCTATCACGCTGTCAAATTTGCACCATTAGAGTGTTTTGTGTTGATATTTTAACATTGAAACCCATTACACTGTTACGTATCTCCTGCCATTTTTCTAATATAACTAGGACATCGTAGTTTAAAATGTAAGAAATGCTTAGACATGTCCCCTCGATCATGTCACGCCTGTCATCACCACCATGCCCTCAGCAACAGAACAAATAGATAAATCACTGTTATATACACATTTGACATGGAAATGAGTCTGCAAGTGTCTATTTGGTGACAGTTTGCATTCCTGTCCAGTCCAGATGCAGTCCCCCATCTGTCACACCCTGCTTGGTACCGATCCCAGGGGCCACGGCATCAGCAGGGAACAGCTGCAAAGAGAAGGAGAGCTGCAGGTGACACTCCTTCACAAAGGGGAGGTGAAGTGGGAACGGGCAGAGAGAAAGC